AAACCTGAGCTTTAGGGAACAGAATTGAGCAGATTTTTGTTCATGTAATATGCATTGGTGAATATGTAAACTGTATAGCTGATAGTAGTGGTTTCTGTGAACATACCAAATGAAAAGGTTGCTTTGACTTTGTTTTTTGCTGGATACTAGTATCGGTAAATGGGCCGATACAGGGAATTTGTGAAAAAGCACTGATACCGGCTCTTTAAATTTTGAAACAAGAGCAGCTGCCTGAGGTGCTGCGCTTGCTGGGAGGCTCAGGTAGCTGTCTTTGACAGTGCCGGTCCCGGCCGCACATTACCTCCTGCTCCTTCCCGAGACCGGACAACTCTGGTGATACTGCACACAGCCCTGTATAATCATGGAGTGATGGGATCTGTAGTCCTCCATTGCTGAATAATCATGGATGGGTGAGATTTGTAGTCCTCTATAGCCGGTTACCATTCTCTATTGCTGTATAATCATTGATTATACAGCAATAGAGAATGGCACCTGGATATAAAGGACTAGAGATCTCAGCAATCCATGATTATTCAGCAATGTGGTTAACTCATCCCCCATCCAACCAGAGTATGGTTGAAGTCTGCAGACAATGTGTGTTATTTTAACTTGCTGATAGTGAATTGATGATGGTGTTCACATTCTTCCTTTTTTGATATTTTTGCACCAATAAATACCTTTTAACGAAATCACATACAATTTTGTCCGTCCCGTTCCATTAATGACCGCTTGACCTGGCCACTTTCTTCATGGCCAGATCTCCCCTTTTCTTTTGATGCCTATTTGGTCATGGTCCTGGTAGACGGACTCACTAGTTTATAAAGGGGTATCATTGTTAGAGATCGGATCTCCAGGAGAAAAAACATTTTTTTAATATGAATAATCATGGATTGCTGACATTTGTAGTCCTCTATAGCCAGTTGGCCTTCTTCATTGCTGAATAATCATGGATTGCTGACATTTGTAGTCCTCTATAGCCAGTTGCCATTCTCCGTTGCTGAATAATCATGGATTGCTGACATTTGTAGTCCTCTATAGCCAGTTGCCATTCTCTGTTGCTGAATAATCATGGATTGCTGACATTTGTAGTCCTCTATAGCCAGTTGGCCTTCTTCATTGCTGAATAATCATGGATTGCTGACATTTGTAGTCCTCTATAGCCAGTTGCCATTCTCCGTTGCTGAATAATCATGGATTGCTGACATTTGTAGTCCTCTATAGCCAGTTGCCATTCTCCGTTGCTGAATAATCATGGATTGCTGACATTTGTAGTCCTCTATAGCCAGTTGCCATTCTCCGTTGCTGAATAATCATGGATTGAGTTAGTTCTTCCTAAATATAAAGAAACTGCCCTAAAATCATTAGTCTGTAGTGTTTTAGAAAAAATGTCACATGTTCCTTTAAGAAAACATATTAGAAAGTACTTGGGAATGAAAAAATGCTATCAGGATATGCTTAGTATTAATGTGTGCAACATTTCATTGCAATGGCTAGCTGTCTATAAAGGATGTTTATAAAAATGTTTGTTGCACATTCGACAGTTTCTATTTTACAGTGTTCAGCTACCAAAGGAGACTCTCCAGGCAATAGACAGCCTGCTGTTGGCTATGGAATCTGTCCACTGCTTGGTGTCAATCAGCAGCAGAGAGGACATGATGGGGAACTGATACCTCTGCATCCCTCTTAGGCTCCCCCCACCGTACAAGTGCTGGGCCAGGTGAAAAGCTCAGTGACATGGAGCCTGTGATTTTAGCATGCCAAGTGTTACTGAGCTGCACTGAGGACGGAGTGCCTGATATTAAAACCGTGGTGGTGCTTGCTCCAAATTCATATACCTGCTTTTAACACCATCAAAAGAATTCCAATGAGTGTCATAGACACACTTCATGAATTTCCCCAGTATGTTTTCAGAACTGAACCCAGGCTCATGAAACTCTCTGCTCCTATTATTGAACTACGTCCCTAATTCTCAATTCAACCACCTGAAAACAAGAGCAACTCCTAACCCAGAAAAAAATATGGGAGCCGTCACTGCCAGCGTGTTCCTAAAGGTGCAAGCTTCAGGGCTATCAACCTTTTCCTTGCTTCACTACTTTGTATGCAAAGTCCAATGGTCCTTGACATGCACCCTCAGTCTCTTAGGGTCTATGGGGTGGTTCCATCTCTCCACCACCTTGTCGACGACTCCTGCCTCAGGGCTGTCCTCATGTATGGGAATTGGCAGCAGGAAATGTTCAGAGACTGCAGGGACTACAGACATGCTGCAAGGCATGGTCAGAGGCTACATACCATGTTTCCCCGAAAATAAGACACTGTCTTATATTTTTTTTGGCTCAAAAAACACCTCTAGGTCTTATTTTCGGGGTAGGTCTTATTTTGTTTTTTATTTTAAAGGAGAACTATGGGGTCAGTGTTTTTCCCCATAGTTCTCCTTAGGGTAACGGGAGGACACAAACTAGCATCCTCCCGTTACCCTAAGCTCAGTATACCGCGAGCTGTACTGAGACGCCGCACCTGGAGCGGATCCCGACGTAGATGACGGGATCCGCCCAGCTGCGTGAGTGACAGCTGGCTCTGCCTATCTAGAGGCAAAGCCAGCTGTACCCGCCCCCTCCCCCGTCTGTTCCGCCAGTCAGCACTGGCAGATTGGAGCGGGGAGAGGGGAATCTTATCAGTGTGTATCAGTGTGTATCAATGTGTATCACTTTAAATTCTTACTTTGGCTGATCTTTGAAGTTCTCTCTCTCCTCTCTCTCACAACCCAACGGTGTGTGAGAGAGGAGATAGAGACAAGGCTGCAAACTGCAGCCTCTGTTTACATTTGTGACAGCTGTGATTTGTCACAGCTAGATCGCAAGGTATAGAGCCGATTTTACTGGCTCTATACCTTGTTATAGAAACAGCACTGTCCAATGGACAGTGCGGGCACAGTTGCCGGGCCGTGATCGCGCTGGGAGCGCGCCTGATCGGGGGGCGGGGCAGGACGTCTGAAGACGCCCGCTCAGATCCAGGAAGTTCCCGCCGGACGTTTTTTTACAACGGCCGGCCGGGAAGTGGTTAATGTACAACAATCCACACTTATTCCTGTACAACAGTCTACATGTATTCATGTACAAAAATATGGTGATCAGGGGTGCCGTACCATTTCAAGAGCAATTTGCTAACCAATCGCTGGCCAGAATGAGCGCAGCACACCTTCACTATCGATTCCTGCATTTGGCATCACTCCGCCTGTGACAGGAGCTGGCGCTATAGAAGAATTGCACTCATTGAACTGCAACTCAAGCCAAAACATTTTTTTTTCTTCTAGTTTTGGATAAGGGTAGGGATTAGAACATCTGTCAGGTTTTTATTGCTATGGCCCTGTAAGACTCACCATAGACGTTGGCTGAATAATCTTCCTCCAATCAACTTTAGATCTACCAAAATGATGTAGTCAAAAATGTATCCAATCAGGCAGGTTCTTGTACTACATACATGTTGTTAGATCTAAAGGAGATTGTGCAATCAGACTGTAATGTGCATGCAGAGCTTTAAGATTATTATTATTATACAGGATTTATCTAGCACAAAGCAATTTGCGCAGCGCTTTACATTCACCCTCTTTATCCAGGTGACCAAATTTTGGGCTGTCATTGGAAAAGGAAGGGATGAAAAAAATCTTCCAATGGAGCCGGTAGTTTTGGTGGCCCTGCTGACCACCAGGGACCTTTTTTTTCTTCTTTCGTTGAAGGGGTTTCCTTTTACTTTCTGTTGTGGCTATTAGAGATGCACCGATATATCGGCCGGAAATTGCACTTTTGGCATAATGTTGAAAGTGCCATTTGCTGGTCGATACACCGGTGCATCCGTGTATTCTCTCCTCCCCGCTGCTCTGTGTCCCAGCGGAGAGGAGAGAAACTGTTACAGGCGGCCAAACACTGCAGGAGGAGAGCGCTGTGAGCGGCCGGCGTTTCTCCTCCCCACACCGCTCAGCCTCCTATCACAGATCAGAGGAGAACAGTGTGGGTGGAGACAGTCATCGCTGTCACAGGAGGCTGAGCTCTCCTCCCGCACCACTCGCTCAGCCTCCTGTGACAGCGTGTCAGGAAGGAGACGAGTGCAAATACTTAGAGATCTGAGATCGCTGAGTGTGTGTACATAATTTAGGAGATGGTATGTTTACTATATCCTCAATTATTAATGAATGGGAAGTGCTGACCTCCTGTTCATTCATGATTGTGGTTATAGTAAACATACTATGTTCTCATGTTATGTATGAACAGGAACACTCAGTATACAGCATTCCTGTTCATTGATAACAGGGGCTGAAGAAAAAAAGAGATTGAGGACTCTGTGTTCTCAATCTCTTTTTCTATTTTAAAAGGTTTAGACCCCTAATATTTCCCCGATACCCCTAAAAGTAAAGTAAAAAATAAAAAGATTTAATAAAAATTTTTAAAAAAAGGTTATAAAAAAATAAATATTTTAAAAAAAGTTAAAATACAAATATCTTTGGTTTCAAGCCAGGCATTTTTTTTAAAATTTTGTTTCAGTTTTATAATGTTCATTTCGGTGCACCTCTAGTGGCTATCAGACAGGAAGTGCTGGGACATCTCCCCAATGGCACACAGATGGCAATAACTCACCCTTACTCTATCCAAAACTAAAAAGAAAGTTTTAGCTTCCTTTCTACTTGAATTAATATGTTTGCACACAAATCTATACAGGCAGTGGGCTTTACCCTATATCGAATGGTTTTCCATATGAACAACTAAAAAGAAAGAGAAGGTTGCCCATGGCAACCAATCAGTTTCTAGCTTTCATTTTCAAAGCTAAATTGAAGAGAAAAGCTGATTGGTTACTACTGGCAACTGTTCTAGTGTTGATAAATTCCCCCTTTCTTATGTTGATAACATACTCGCTTTCCAGATTCATTAGGTGAATGTGGCTGATTAGACGGGATAAATGTCCCTTGTACCGAAATCCAACCCCCTCAGCGTAGCCTCTGCCTAGCAGCCGGTGTCCGTTACACTGGGGTAGAGGAGTGGAAGTGGGCAGGTTTATATAGCACCCAGCGCCCCTCCCTCCTTCTCCACACTCCATCATGGCGATGCATAACAAGGCCACAACGCCGCAGATTCCAGATACGCGCCGGGAACTGGCTGAGCTAGTGAAGCGGAAACAAGAACTGGCGGTAAAACGACCACCCTTTCTAATAGCCTAAGCATCGCGCCTGCGGATTAATCCGGTTTCACCGGCTAAGTGACCGTGTAGATTTCGTTCGCCTTATATAACCAGCGCATCTTCCCCTCTCGCGTTACGTTCAATTTCGCAGCTGAGTTTACGTGAATTCCTGCCTCTCTACGTAGCGTGCGTAGAATGGTATCATTTGTGAAGCGTTGCGCAATTGACGTTTGTAGTAAAATTGCGTACGCTACGCTATTGGCGCACGTTCAGCCATGTCGTTGAATGGAAGTAGGGCGATGATGGTGGCGGGAAAGAGAAATACAGGGGGTGGGGAACGCTTTAGGAAAAGATGGTGCTGTAGTACGCCGTATGTTAAAATTGATTTTATATGATGAATGCTTTTGGTTTCATTGATATCTCCCTCTATGCTCCCGTGCTCCAAAGAAACCAGAAACACACCGGCTTAGCACTAAGAGCACCTGTCTTTACATAATACCTCCTGGTATGTCAGGGCAGGTTGTCACGTTATGGGAAGTTTAATAGAATAACAACCTTTAGCTGAGTACAGTATATCTAAAGCCAGAAACAAATGTTACTGTATTGTAGCTTATCAGTACCTAGCTGTGGGGGCTGCATTTGGTTTTCAGGCTAAGGCAGGGGTAGGCTACTCCAATCCTCCAGCTGTGCTATAGCTACAAATCCCGGCATGCTTCTGTCTCGGGGGTCATGCCTGTAACTGTCAGTCTTGCAATGCCTCATCGGACTTGTAGTTCCACAACAGTTGGAGGGCCACCCCTGTGCATTGTGCCCGCCTCCTCCCCTCTCTGTCTCTCCAATGAGTGATGGAGAAGGGAAGGGGGGAATCCCCGCGGGGCCTAATGACTGGCAGTAACCACTCTCTGCAGAGAGGATCGTGAGCTGAGCAATCAGCAGTTCGTGGTTATCCATTTTATAGAGGCGACTTGTGACCGCTGTAGCGTCACATGTCGGCTCTAAATATGGGTGTGAGTGTATTTAACTCTCCCCATAGTTCTCCTTTTAAAGGAGAACTATGGGGTCAGTGTTTTTCACCATAGTTCTCCTTAGGGTAACGGGAGGACGCAAACTAGCGTCCTCCCGTTACCCTAAGCTCAGTATACCGCTACAGCTCGCGGTATACTGAGACGCCGGAGCGGATCCCGACGTAGATGACGGGATCCGCCCAGCTGCGTGAGTGACAGCTGGCTCTGCCTATCTAGAGGCAGAGCCAGCTGTACCCTCCCCCGTCCGTTCTGCCAGTCAGCGCTGGAAGATCGGAGGGGGGGGAGGGGAATCCAGCCCCTCCCCCTGTCACGGCATAGAGCCGTGACAGGATCGAGAGGCGAGCGAACCCGGTATGTGTTCGCTCACCTCCCGATCTACTGAGCCGACCTGTGACAGTCTCATTGTCACAGGTCTCCTTTTAGCTGCTATAGCATGTTTTACAAGCGGACTGTCAACCCCCCTTCCCAAGAGTGCCACCCTCTCCCCCCACCAAACATGCATCCCGTCCTCCGCTGCTCTCCCAGAACAAGCATTGCGGGTCGAGCGGGGGAGTCCAGCAAACATCCATTTGCTGATCTTCCCTACATTGATTGACCCTGGAAGTGACAAGCATATTGTCACTTACGAATTCAAAGCTGTCATTCCCCAGCCACTGTGCCCTGGAAGAAGCTGATCAAGCATAATCTGACCATGATCAGCTTCCAGAGATGAATTAGGCATTTAATAGACCCTTCAATGTCTCCTTGAAGAGGACTTGTACTTAATTTTCTATCACGCAGCGAGCTGTTGCCTTGTTGTTGAGTTTTGATTCCAAGGAGTCAATACCATTGGCTTGGAACAAGTATGCATATTGACAAAGTGAAGATTACATTCAGAATTTTCTATCTGCGTACATGTTCTGGTTAATTGCCCGTATTGAAGCAAGAGGGCTGGCATGGCAGCCAGGCAACTAGTATTTGTAGAAAGAGATATCGGCAAAGGAAGCCTCCATGATTCTCTTACATAAACTCTCACTTAAAGCCAGAACTCTGGGCAAAAGTTTTTTCTTAATCTTTGCAATGGGGCTACCCCTGCACTGCAAAGGTTAACTACTCATTTTTGTTTTGTCTGGGGACTAAATGTTTTATATTTACCTGAACCTTGGAGCCGGCTGGCTTCCACAGCACTCCCTCCAGCCTCTCTTCTCCTACGCTGCAGTGATGGTATGACCCTCGGTGTTCTCATGTCCTATACACTGTGCATTGGACGTAATGGCTCAAGGTTCCTTAGACTGCCGCAGTGGAGGAAGAGCGAGGCTGGAAGGACCAGTCTAAGAGCAATCTGGCTCCGGGGATCAGGTGAATTTAACTTTATTTTAGAACCTTGACGAAAATGAGCAGTTAACCCTTGCAGTGCATGGGGTAATACAACATTTTGCCCTGTAAGTTACCATGATAAACAGAGGTGACAGAAACTGAACAAGGTTGGCTCTTGGGCTCATTCATCTCTGTTATTATGCAAAAATGTACTTCAAGGATGTGTTTCAAGAGTCCTGTGCTATGGTTATTTTCTGTTTTATTACCATTGGATCTCTGTGTCTTTTCTCATTGCATTGATTAGATGATTATTTGTGCTGACTTGGCTATTCATTCACTCATTTATTGTTATCGTTTTCTTGTAGGAGACCTTGGCAAATCTAGAACGTCAGATCTATGCTTTTGAAGGAAGTTATCTGGAAGATACCCAGATGTATGGGAACATCATCAGAGGATGGGACCGTTACTTAACAAATCAAAAGTAAGTGGCTGGTTTTTGTGTCCGTTACATACTGGTTTGTGTGTTGCTGTGGAATGTCCTCATTCATTTAATACACAGGAGAAAGTCTGGGTTTTATAACTGATCTGTACTTGTCCGTTGTACCCTGATGTCTGTTTTTTTTTTCTTTTTATTCCTTCACTTTAGGAACTCAAACAGTAAGAACGACAGAAGAAATCGAAAGTTTAAAGAAGCAGAAAGACTTTTTAGTAAATCTTCAGTAACTTCTGCAGCTGTGAGTAACTGAAACCGTGTTGACACTTTGAGTGAACAGCTATTCCTTAGTATATAAATCCCAAAGTGAATGTTCAACATTGAGGGTGCTAAGGTGAATGTCCTATAGAAACTGCCATAACTTTGCACGGTTGTCTAGAAAGATTCCCAGTATTGGTTGTTTCTTTACTTTTTATTTAGTGCACATTCAGTCTGTTGTGGTGTGTTACTACATACGCGTCAATGTATGTTTTCACAAGGCAGCCGGTTCATTTTTTTAGATAGGTTGCCAATGCATCACGATGCACGTTTTTATAGACTTGCAGCATTATGGTTAAAAGGAGAACTATGAGGAGTGAAAATCACTCATCGTCCTAGTTCGAACCGACGTGTGACAATTAAACTGTCACACGTCGGCTCAATAGATCGGGAAGTGAGCGAACACATACCGTCGCTCACTCACTTCTTGATCCTGTCCCTGCAGAGAGCCGCGACTGTCACTCACGGCTCCCTGCAGGGATTCCCTCCCCGGTCCTCCAGCGCTGCCTGGAGGAACGAACGTGGTAGGGGGCGGGTACAGCTGGCTCTAGATAGGCAGGGCCAGCTGGGTAGATCTCGACAGTAATGTCGGGATCCGTCCCGGCTGTGGCGATCTCCGTATACTGGGAGCTGTAGCTTGCAGTATGATGAGCTTTGGGTCACGGGAGGACGCTAGTTCATGTCCTCCCGTGACCCTGAGGAGAACTATGGGGAAAAACACTTACTCCATAGTTCTCCTTTTAATACAATGCACCACAAGGCACAGATTTACATCTGAGCATTAGTATGGTGGACTGCTAAAATGCAAGTGTGTTGTGCATTGGGATGCCATTTAAAATGAATAGAAGAATTAACCACTAGCACACCGGAGGTCCACTTTATCGTCCTGTCTTTATTTGACGTCAGATGAACCTGGCATCACATACAAATGCAATGTTTCTAGACTTTGTGTGGTTCCTTAATCGGGTAAAAAATAGTGTCAATAGTGCCAGCCACAGGCCATTCCAGCACCCACTGAAATATTCAAAGTGGGATTGCAGTCTGGAGTGCAATGGGACATTACATTCACATACTCATTTGAAATGAGGGCACCGTAACTCACTTTGTTTTGTACGTTACAATGCATGTTACCACAAAACAGTCTGGATTGGCCCTAAATAAATGCACAAATAAGCTGGTCCTGATCTGTTGCATAACCCCCCCCCATTCCCTGATACTTTTGAGGTTTTGAATATACAGTACTTTATTTAGCTTTGCATTTTATGGAGAGAAGAAAATAATAATTCATTGATTCAATTCAACACGTATGTGTTGAACACTCTCAAAGGAATGGCTTGGTGAGAATGGGCCCTAACTTGGTGTACTGCATTCAGAGCCTTGTTTATAGCATCGGCTTAAAATCCTCTTTTCAGTTGAGCACTGCAAAAATAGGATGAGCAGTACAAAACCATATCTTGTCCCTGCAGTTACATCCTTGAAGGTAAAAGTTTGTATATTGATTAGCCCTTTGTATGCTTCACTAGGAAGTACACTAGTGAATTACACTATATTACCAAAAGTATTAGGATGCCGGCCTTTACACGCACATGCACTTTAATGGCATCCCAGTCTTGGTCTGTAGGGTTCAGTATTGAGTTGGCTCACCCTTAGCAGCTATAACAGCTTCAACTCTTCTGGGAAGCCGTCCACAAGGTTTGGGAGTGTGTCTCTGGGAATGTTTGACCATTTTTCCAGAAGTGCATTTGTGAGGCCAGGTACTGATGTTGGACGGGAAGGCCTGGCTCACAGTCTCCGCTCTAATTCATATCAAAGGTGTTCTATCGGGTTGAAGTCAGGACTCTGCAGGCCAAGGTCAGGACTCTGTGCAGGCCAGTCAAGTTCCTCCACCCCAAACTCGCTCATTCATGTCTTTATGGACCTTGCTTTGTGCATTGGTGCGCAGTCATAATGGAACAGAAAGGGGCCATCCCCAAACTGTTCCCACAAAGTTTTGAGCATGAAATTGTCCAAAATGTCTTGGTATGCTGACATTAGAGTTCCCTGAAAAACAACCCCACACCATAATCTACCAAACTTTACACTTGGCACAATGCAGTCAGACAAGTACCGTTCTCCTGGCAGTGGCAACCACCAAACCCAGACACTTTCATCAGATTGCCAGACAGAGAAGCGTGATTCGTCACTCCAGAGAACACATCTCCACTTCTCTAGATTCCAGTGGCGGCGTGCTTTACACCACTGCATCCCACGCTTTGCATTGCACTTGGTGATGTAAGGCTTGGATGCAGCTGCTCGGCCATGGAAACCCATTCCATGAAGCTCTCTACGCACTGTTGTTGTGCCAATCTGAAGGCCACACGAAGTATGGAGGTCTGTAGCTATTGACTCTGCAGACAGTTGGCGACTTCTGCATACTATGCGCTGACCCCGCCCTATCATTTTTCGTGGCTGAGTTGCTGTTGCTTCCACTTAGTGGTATTAACTAACAGTTGACCGCGGAATATTTAGTAGCAAGGAAATTTCACAGAAACCTGAATCCAATGATTTGGAGGGGTGTCCCAATACTTTTGGTAATATAGTGTATATTTTCCATATTAAAGCGGACCTTTACACCTAAAAATCATATTCTACCAATGCATCCCTCTATGTATGATGATGATTAATAATAATAATATAGACCTGTCGGGCGTAAAATGCTGTGATTATGAAATACTTGCACTTGGAGAGCATTCACTTTCTGCTTTGAATGGGCAAAATTACTTCGGTTTGGCAAAGCAATGCACACTGGGATGGTCAACAGAGCATGGCTGGGAAATCTCATCTGTAATCTCAGGGAAAGGCATTTTCTTTCCCTGAGATGATGTGCATGGTCACATGTCCTAGTCACATGTGCCAGGAATCCAGGAAGTAAAAGGAGAGCTAGTAATCTGCCCTTAGTAAACATTGCCACTGCCAGAAGTCTGGGAAAGAAAAGAGAAATAAGGTATGCAAAGAATGCAAAGCCGGCAATTAACTAGAATGTGTTTGTATATTGTCATTACTAAACATTTCTAAAGGTGTGTTTGTTGTTTTTTTAATGATATGGGTAAAGGTCCGCTTTAAGTTATACTTTTGAAACAGAATTTTGTAGATATAACCCTTCCTTTGTTAGGATAATGTTTGTTCAATGTTTTAATAACCCTTCTCATATAGAGACTAAGGAACCATGAAATTGGTGCTAAAATGAACATTTTGCTTTTCAGGCTGTAAGTGCATTGGCTGGAGTACAAGACCAAATGATCGATAAACGTAAGTACTTTTATGCGATTTCTCAAATTATGCACACACCTTTCACACTCGATTGAAAATGTTTGATCCTTGAGTTGTAATTTTAGATTTTTAAGTTCAGCTGCAAGATATCGTAAAACTGACAGTGACTGCTTAACCTAATCTCAGTATTCTATATGGGGGGAAAAAAATAAACCTAATGTTATTTCTTCTTCTTGTCGTTTTGTAGGAGAGCCAGGCAGTGGAACAGAGAGTGACAATTCCCCAGACTTTCAGAATCAGGAGAATGAGCCTAGTCAGGATGATACAGAAGATCTAGATGGTTCCCTGTCAGGAGTCAAGCCTCAGAAAGCTGCATCTTCGGCCAACTCTGGAGGACATCACAGCAGTCACAAGAAACGCAAGAATAAAAACCGGCACAGGTTGGCTTAAGAATCATTATGTACCTTCCACCACCTTTTGCTTCTTTTGTTTGCCTTCTAGTTAATAATACTCTTAGGAGACTTTGCTGCGGGTCATGATGTAAATATGACTAATCAATGATAGAATGTTGCTTGTAATTTGGTGTGCCATCATTGTGAATATTGGTATTTACCACTAAAAATTAAAGATTCTGTTTTGGGTAGAATGACCTTCATTGTCTTGATTTCTCCTAATCTGTAAGGACGATGAGAGGTATTATTAATATTAATTATCGCATTGACCATTCCCTGCCCTTTGCTCATAAGTTAAGTCAGTCTGGATTTCAAATTGATTTACTCTTCACCCAGGCAAGAAGAAAGTTCTTCTGAAGCACATGTTGCATTTTGACTTTCTGACAATTCCAACCAAGGTTTGATAAGTAAAGCGTTTAAAAAGTTTAAGGCAATTTACCAACAACTGTTTAGATACACTAGATGGCCAAAAGTTTGTGGACACCTGGCCATCACAATATTAGCTTGTCAGACAACTATTTCATATTTCTGGAAAGTCTTTCCCCAAGATTTCGGAGCGTTTGTGGGAATTTTTGCTAATTTAGGTAAAGGTGAGGTACTAATATGGGATAAAGACCTGACTCGCACTTGCCATTCAGTTCATCCCAAATGTATTAGTTAGAGTTGTGGTTATGGTTTGGTGCAAGTAGCTTGAGTTTCTCTACACCAAACTCTTTAAACTATGGACTGATATGAATGTGCTCTATGTAAAGCGCTGCTTAAATTGTCAGCGCTATATAAATACCTGTAATAATATAAAGGGAATTATGGACCTTGCATTGTGCACAGGGTTGGGAACTTGCGACTCTATGCTGTAGCATTAACAGTACTTTTCACTGGAAACCCCTGAACAAAATATTGTGCATGAGTGTCCATATATGTTTGGCCATATAGTGTAGTTCTATATTGAGGACATTGGTAGGTTGCCTTGATCTGTTTGATAAAGTCTCTTAAAGCCACCCTCCGGGCAGAATGATAATTTATACGCCACACTGGGTGTGTAAATTATCATTATAAAGCTGGGTGTTGTGAGGAGGGCTGCTGTAAAGTAGAACAATCTAACCTTGCAGTACGCTGTCTCCTGCACAGAACGCCCAGCTTCCGGGCGCTGAAGAGAGGGAGCAGTGAGACCCGAGGTATATATTACTCAGTCGCAGGATCCAACCCTCTTCATTATCCTTCATTCACAAAATCTCTTGTATTTTTTTTAGTAAGAATACAAGATATTCTGTGATTGGAGGAGAGATGTCACATCCCCGCCCCCTCCTTCAGCTGAAAATCGCATGCATTACTTGCACCAAAACGCACTGTACTGACATAAGTGTTTTTGTTTTCTTTTAAATTTTTTCCCCATAGTTCTCCTTAGGGTAACGGGAGGACACAAACTAGCGTCCTCCCGTCTTAATTTCGGGGAAACACGGTATGTAGCCTCTGACCATGCCTTGCAGCATGTCTGTAGTCCCTGCAGTCTCTGAACATTTCCTGCTGCCAATTCCCATACATGAGGACAGCCCTGAGGCAGGAAAAACACTGACCCCATAGTTCTCCTTTAACATATGTAATTATGCGATGCTTTTATCTGCATTGTATATGGAACGGAGTACATCCTTTTTTGGTCAGATTGTTTTGAAATGCATGTTAAAGGCCAACCCCGACCAAACCATTTTATTTTGTATAGAGTGGGGAAGGGAAAAGAAGTGATGGGAAATCTCTCCAACAGGCACACACTCACATTTTTAGTAGCGTGTGGAAAAGTTTTAATCTAATGCAAAGCTTTTATTGCTGTCTGTGCCGTCATAGACCTTTAATTTGCCAGGGTGGCAGAATCCCGAGAGCTACTAATTTGAATGTTATTAAATGTTTCAGTGCCAGGAAATAAAAAAATAAAAAAATCCTAATTCTTTGTAAGGATTTTTTAACAGTTTATTGATTTTGCAGTCTTTTTTTCCATTGTAAGGGGTCTAGATCTAGCCAGTGGAGAGGAGACCCAAAATGCAGTGGTGCAGCAGCATTTCACTTCTAAGGCCTGGTTCACACCTGTACGTTTTGCAGCGCGTTCAACGCTCTGAAAAACGCTCAAACATGAAAATCCCATTGTTTTCTATGGGTATGGTTCACACCTTGCCGTATTTCAGCCCGTCTGAACGCGTTACAAAACGGCCTACGCCTGAAAAGGTACATGAGCTTCTTTGCGGCGTTTTTGACACGCGTTTCCATTGGGATACAGCCAAGTAGCCCTCAAATGCGCGTCACGAAACACGCGACGGACACGCATATTCGATGCGCCTAGGTGTGAACAGAGCCTTACAGTCATCTATTGCTGGTTGTAGTCAGCCAGCATTAGATCACTATAGCAGTAATTTATTGCTGCAGGGAGGAGCTTTGTCCTGGCCTCCATACACAGAGAAAGTGTTGTGAAGTAAATTCATGATGTCACTACACTTCTTATGTAAACAGAATGCAGAATCATTCTGTTAAAATTTGATTCTGCTGCGCACTCCTCGGTAGAAGCATTGAAAGCCCAGGAGCTGATAGCTTTGTGCTGGACCCCAGGATCCCAGACAGTCCAGTAGAGGCTCCCAGGAGCTACTGAGACTCCACCATTTTAAAATGTGCTGGGATGAATAGCCACTGCCCCTGTGCCATTTTTAATATGACGCCTGGGAATCAAGTTTGCTCTTTTAGATTTTAAAAATCACAATCCAAATGAGCCCAGCACACTAATTAAATCAGCAATATTATTGCTCTACCTTTTTTTTCCCTAATCATCTTCCAGGACAGCAACCTGAGAGATGATTGGTTCCACCTTCTACAGGAAACACAATTAGTAAAACAGTTAAAAGCCCCTCCCCTTCCCCTCGTACCTCAGTTTTAGATTGTGTTTCCTACCGTCCAGGACCACGTCACGTTTGTTCTTTTTACAGACCCAGCGGCGAACCTGGCCCTTTAATAAAACTAAAGTTAAGGGAGGCCTGCTTTTTTCCAGTCCAGCCACCCCGAACAAGGATTCTAAATGACGGAAGCAAAAAAGTGGGGGTAGTATTTCGAAGAGTCGATATGTTTTAGATCTTCTAGAAAGGGGGTATCGCCTGGAATTTTTATCCCTTCCCCCCCACAATCTTTTTTTGACTGTGGAGTCAGGTAGATCCAGTAAAGATTACCACGGACGCAAGCGCCTGGGGTTGGGGGGCTCATGCTCTAAAGCTTCAGGCACAGGGGTCCTGGTCCCAGAGGTTGGCAACATCCTCCTCCAACGTGAGAGAACTTGCTGCAGTAAGGGAAGCCTTGGTGGCCTTTCAGGCAGTGTTGCAGAATCGTCATTTCAGATATTTTCAGACAATTCAACAACAGTGGCTTATCTAAAGCATCAGGGTGGTACAAGGTCGCAGCCCCTGTTGAAAATTGCTCAGGAGATTTTTCTGTGGGCAGAGCCGAGAGTGCTTTCCATCTCGGCGGTCCACATAAGAGGGATTCACAACGTTACTGCAGATTTCCTAAGCAGGAGTCCCATACGGCAAAACGAATGGGAATTGCACCCCGAGGTATTTGCACAGATTGTCTAATTATGGGATCAGCCAGAGATAGATTTATTTGCTACCAGAGAAAACCGAAAGACTCAGGAGTTCTTCTCCTTGGGCAGGGAACAGGTCTCCAGGGGAGTGGATGCGCTGGCACAGGACTGGAACTTCAGCCTGGGTTATGCGTTCCCTCCACTGCTCCTAATTGGGCTTTTAACTGTTTTACTAATTGTGTTTCCTGTAGAAGGTGGAACCAATCATCTCTCAGGTTGCTGTCCTGGAAGATTCCTAGAAATACCGTTACCGGTAAGTCTAACGGAACATTTTTTACACTTAAAGATTTTGCTATGGTTTGGCTAACTTACCTCTTGCTAAAAGCATCCAAAATGGTGGCCTTTGTGCATGCTGAACGGAGAGAAAGGACGGGAAGTATCGTACAGTTACGACACCCCAGTCTAATAACACAAGGAGCCGCACAACAGCCACGACCCCCTAAATCCCCCCCCAGGAGTGTGCTAACCCATCAGTCTTAATTTTCCAACTTTCTGGCCTTCGTGCATAGGTGTACATGTAACCCACGTGCCCTGGTTGTATGCTTTTGTCTACTGCGCAGTTTATTTTTCAGGTATCTGGAAAAAGTTCCAATTTTAAAGGTAAGTTCACTATTCCATAACCCTAAACTAATCAGGAGACAAAGGAAATCTCACTGCTCCAATTCCTTAGCCGCCATCAGGACTCCCCAGGTGCTGGTCTAATAGGTCCGTCTCCACCTTGGAATGTATTACTATACGAACAGATCGCACTATCCAGATAATTTCAATACTTCAGACTTTATTGAAATTCACAGCAAATCTAGAATAAAAGTGTGTAAAGCAGCAAATACCAGCACCATATTAATATATTTCAATAATGTCTGAAGTGTTGGAATTCTCTGGATAGTGCGGTCTGTTCGTATACTCCTAAACTAATCAGATTTTAAAAGTCTGCATTTATGGTCACTTAATACCTGAAGGCAATTTGTGCGAGGAGTAAGGCCTGGTTCACACCTGGGCGTTTTACAGAGCGTTCCTATGCGCTGTAAAACGCTCAACATGTGAAAACCAATGATTGCCTATGGGCATGGTTCCCACCTAGTCGTTCTACAGCGCGTGGGAACGCGCTGCAAAACGTCCTACGCCCAAAGAAGTACAGGAGCTTCTTTGGGGCGTTTTGCCTTGCGTTTCCATTGGTATTCCCGCGTGTGGATCGGGGTTAACAAAGCGGTAACCCCAGGCCACACTTGGGAATACAGCGTACAGGTCTTACCTTGTCCGCGATCCCCGCTGTTTCCTCCGGCGGCTACCGACTTCCGGGTTCCGTCCCTCGCTAGCGGCCGCGTCGCAGGGGGGCAGAGCCGATGGGAAGTTTGAAAGTGAAACTTTTTTTTTTTTAAATAGAGAAAATAAAGGGGAAAAAAAAACATACCGCCAGTGAAACGCGCGTTTCACTGAATGAAAAAAACGAGCTGAAAAAATACTCTCTGGTGTGAACCCAGCCTAAAGCCTGCCCCCAAAACATTTGCCAGTTCTCAAAGCTCTGTCCTGTCTTCCTTCTGAGACCGATCAGTCCTTAGGATGAGCACCCCCTAGTGGTAGAGGATCATGCACCGTCCTCCCGAGCCGTGCAGTATGCTCTCGTCTCGCCTCGGATAAGCTCAGTGGCTGTGAAATCTGTCTGAACTTTTTGGGGCAAATTTTGCTAATTGCTCAAATGACCTACAGGTGTTGAGAGAACATAAATGCATCCTAGTTTAGGGTTTTAGACTGGTGTTTACGGTCTGCATAGGGTATTTTTAGGGTAAACTAACTCCTTTAAGGGGATTTAGTTTAGTTTCCAAGAAGAGACTATTTCCCATTCCCTCTCTATGTAGTTTTGTGATGAGGAAACCTCAATGGACAGTTATTGAGTCACAAATTTTAATTCTATGAACATGATTTGCATGCTGTACCAAGAATTTGATATAATCTTGCAGTTCTCCCTGTGTGCAACTCTGGAAACATGTTAAGATACCAGAAAGGGACCATAACCCAAAGATGTTAGGTTCATCTACAGGGAAATAAGTTAAAATATGACATGGTTTTTCTACACCTCTACCATGCTGTGGTCATTCAATGTCCATAGATGTCAGCCTTTGGGCATAAAGCCAGCTGACTGGTCTCTTCTTCCATGGCTACCTTTTGTATGGAAAGCTTCAGGGCAGCAATCAATGAACTGCACATGTTTCTTTTTGTTTGATTACTTTTTCTATAATGTGTGTGTGGGTGTTTTTTGTAGTTGGCTCTTTTTAGCCCTCATTCACACTAGAAAAGGCCGGCACGTACAGCTCCGTGCTTCGTGCACAGCCGTATGGGGCAGTTCCCGGGAAGGACAGGTGCTACGTGTGATTGTACGCAGCAGCTTGTCCTTCTCTATGGGACTATGTGGCCGTATGCTCCCCTCAAGTGCGGGTGCGTGTTTCCTGGCTCAGACACAGACAGGATGCATCCTCTCAGCGTAAGAGTACGCTCACCCGCACGGGCCTGCAGGGCCGGTGAGCGTACGGCCGCGTAGTCCCATAGAGAAGGACGGGGGCTGCGTACTAATCACACGCAGCACCTGTCCTTCCCGGGAGCTGCCCGATACGGCCCCGTATATGCAGCACTGAGCTGTACGTGCCGGCCTTTTCTAGTGTGAATGAGGGCTAAAAGTGACGCTAAGCTCTGGAATTAAATCTTAAAAATACATCCAAGTACTATATTAAGAAAAATATATCTTATCTATCACTCAGCTGTAGATCCTCAAATCATCTCTGAATTTATGCTGACATTGTCTTTTCTTCTGGAGGGTGGCTACTTTTGTTCTCCATGGTCCCTGTGTGTGTTGTAAAGTAGTACAAATTAGTAAAATAAACGTATGATTGTAGTCCATCATAGGAGTGAGCTTGGAACGGTGACTACTTTACAACACACACAGGGACCATGGGGAACAAACGTAGCCACCCTCCAGAAGGAAGGGCAGTGTCGGCACCAATTCAGAGATGATTTGAGGATCTACAGCTGAGTGATACACAAATACTGTACGGTATTATTCATAGTTAAGGTACTTGAATAAATTTTTGTCTGAATTTAGGGATGCACAGATACTTTTCGAGTACCAGTACAGATACTTGGCATTTTCATGAGAACTACCAGGGTTGCAGCGGTTGCAGCTGGGACCTGGCTCTGGCACTTCACCACTGTCCTCTAATCATTAGTCTGTATTGTTTTACAAAAACTGTCACATGACCATAAACAAAAATGTATCAGTACTCGTACTTGAAAGTACTCGGCAAGTACCAGTACTCGTACTCGCAAAACTGGTATCTGTGCATCCCTTTATTTATATTTATAAAAACAAAATCATACATTAAAACAGAGATGTACAAATCCCAGGAGCTCCGTGTGCTCCTTACAAATGACAGCTGCCTCCTAACTTTTGAATTTTTCTCTAGTCTAGTCTTGGAGCTCAAAAGTATCGGTACATGTACTTGTACCGAGTACTGTACTTGGTATCTGTGCAACCCTAGTCTGAATGCATTCCCAGTTTAAACAGTATCAAGTAGGATCAAGGAGGAGCAGTGTCAAACCTAGGCATGCAACATGCAGATTTTCTCATTTTAGTAAACCCTAGCAGCCAGTTATATTTAATCTTGTTATCACTTTAAAACAGGTAAAAAAAAAAAAAAAAGATAATTTGGGGGTTTCTTGATTTTTTTATTTTTTTTTTTGTGTGCCGAAAGTCTAACAGCCTTTTAAAGTGGAATCTATTTTTGAGGGGCACGTTAGAAAGATCTTCCATTTCTTGGTTCGTTTTGGGCTTTTTAAAAAAAAATGTTTTACTCAAACTCTGTGTTCTCAGCTGAAGTGGATTCTTTTTTATATTTATTGAATAAACCACTAGAGGGCACAAACCACTCTCCCTCTTTTACATATTGTACAGAGAATTAAGTAGTGTCACCAGAAGCTGGGATGTATAATCGGAAAGTAAACTAAAATGTGTGCTAATGCCTGAGGGCTCATTCATAGCAGCAGCCACTGGTGTGTGCTGTAAAGTTAACCGTGCCAGTGCATTGTAAATGACGCGTTACCCTATTTATTTTTTTTCAAACTGTATTGAATTGTCACAAAATTACATTTCATTTATGTTTATTCACTGCAGCACGTTGTAATGTCGGTGTAGTGCGTGGCAACATGCTGCGGTTAAAAAAAAAAAAAAAAAAAGAAAATTTTTTTTTTTTCCCAAGCACACAGCACTATAGTGCAGTGGTTTAAGCTGAACTAATGGGACAGAAGATCATTTTCTGTGTCTGCACGTTGGGACTGTGTTTGGGGCAAGGCTGACCAACACAGCCCATTGTGTGAATGGGGCCCCAGATGGTAGATTGGTTTAGCCACTAATATTTATTATCCATGCATACAAACTTTTGATTAACAAAATCCAGGTTTACTCAAAGCCATTATGCTTAAAACACATGCTGCCAGACTAAACTAGAGAGCTTCTTTATAAGTACACCTGGTAGATTGCTGTCATAAGGAGTCCCGATATGAAATAATTATCATTCAAAATGTCGTTTCAGCAAAAAAGTGTCTTCAATTATTTGTATTGTTTCTTTTTTGTATTCTGTACATTCCAACCTGCATTGTACTCTTCTAATCCAGCGCATTTGTCCTTGACTTTTTTTTTTTCCCCTTCCAGATTTAGCTCGTTGCTGTTTTTTCTGCTAATCACACAATTACACTAATTAGTGCATTAATTCCTATTGCTTTCTTTTCTCTTTTAATGCTTCCCCCAGTCCATCTGGCATGTATGATTATGACTTCGAGTAAGTGTGATCCTTTGGTCTGTACAACAGCTTCTGTTCACTTCTGCCAATGAAAATGATGTGTATATGTATATATTTCTGCATGCAGAATTCTAACAATTAAAATGAATTTTGTTCTAGCTAATGCAAGTGGCTTTAAAGGTGTATTCAATGTTTTTTGTGCTGCCGCTATTATTTTTTTCCCTCCCATGTTTCTTTTCTTTTCATTCTGTGATAGAGCCATTTTATTTAATGTTGAGCAATAGGACCATTTTAATGTGATTCATCATCAATGTGTGTCTCTAGTTTAAAAATTAGTTTTTATTGCTAGTTTATATTTGACATATGTCCATCTAGATGGAAAAATTTTTGCTCTTTACCTATGCACTCTGTGCTTCCTGATCCTCCTGCCATGCAAACAACCATTCTTTCAAACAGCTTTTGATTGACCCAGCAGATCAAAGCATCCTACAACAAGCAGATTTTATGGTTTCAATAAAAAAAACAACTGGGTGGTTAAGTTATGCTGATCCATTATTGGTAGCTTTTGTAATTGAAACTGATTGGAATTGCCATCTTTATGGTCAGAATTTTTACATTGGCTCATACTGAATGACATTGATACTGTGGATAAAGGTGCCTACTGACACTAGAGGGTGTTCACACAAGCTGGCTTGTCCCAAACAGTCCACATTGTTCATTGAGAACATTCTGCTCAGTCAAGCATGTATGTTTAGCCTTTCATACGGGAGCCGGTTTTACATATCGCTTGGCACTAGCTTATCAGGATACATCAGATACGGAAGAGAAAAGTGAAAGCATCAGCATTTTATTGACGGTGTTGAGAAACTGCAATGCTGATCCTATGCTTGTAATCATTTAGGTCGGTTTATATCAGAAGTTCCAACATCACTGGTTGTATATTTGTTCTGGCTTTGTGACTCAAGTACTGACACTATGGCCTTTAAAGTACCCCTAGGCATTAGTGTCCCACAATACAGTTCCAGGATTTTTGCTGGTGTGATGTGAACACACATTAGTTCTGGGTTAGAGGTGACCCCAGTGTGTAATCTAAGCCCACCTCCCAGGTTTTTTTTTCGCTTTGCTACTACCAAGGAAAGCAGCCACATAGCAGATCATACTTTGTAAGATATGATTATTCCTTTTGGTTAATAAAAGCTCCAATGTCTAGGTACTTTTAAGTCAAGTTTTAATTGCAAGCAGTTGTCAAATATAATTTGCTAAATTTTAAGGTAGGCCAAATATTGTTTCTGTTCTTTTTATCAAAGATTATTTTTTTTTCTAATTATTGTGGGACACTGTCACAAAAAAGTAACTTATAATAGATATCTTTCTTTTTTCTTTCTAAATGTCAGTATGGCTTACTTTTAAAATCTAATTTTGATAATTGTTGAAGACCGTCTACTTTGTTTTCAGTCTCTCTATCTCCCGTTCCAGCACCGAGTGATGCCTGCGGCCTATGCTCATGTGTAAGTGCCACCACAGGGTTTGCTGTAGTATTCTGCATACGTAAAGTACAATCGTGAGCTTATACTGATTAACGTTAAAGTTAAGTTTTTGTGACTGTCCCTCTTTATAATTGCAGTCATTTTTACTCCTTAACCATTGAATTTATGTTATATGTACGGTATGTCGCGTACATAACTAGAATCTGCCTAAAACTCTATATATTAACTTAGTATACTTTATTGCCTCTTTAGGGAAAAGACATTCCTGGTTTTTGTATTCTCCTGCATCTTGCATGTGTTTTTTATAGATTTGTTTTTTCTTTTTATTAAGGATTGACCTCAAACTGAACAAAAAGCCCAGATCAGTAAGTATTTTAAAATGTTGACTTAATTGATCAGAATGGGTTGTGTTTTGTTTTAAACAGATCACTTCCACTTTCCAATTCTACTTAATTTTCTGCCTAAATGTTTTCTACCCAGTGAGCTTGGAGCGATGGCTACTTTCAAACGCATGCAGGGACCATGGGGAAACAAAAGTGGCCACCCTCCAGAACAGGTGTAGAGAACCTCGGCTCTCCAGCTGTGCCCAAACTACAAATCTCATAAGGCATTGCAAGCCACAGGCATGACTCCCAGAGGCGGAAGCATGATGGGATTTGTAGTTTCAGCACAGCTGGAGAGCCAAGGTTGCCTACCCCTGCTCTAGAAGGAAGGACAGTACCAGCACCAATTCAGAGATTATTTGAGGCTCTACAGCTGAGTGATATACAAATAAGATACATTTTTGATAATAGTTAAGGTACTTGAATGCATTTTTAAGATTTAAGTTATGAGTTTAGTGTCACTTTAAATAGGTGGGAGGCAGCAACTAGTTCAGTATTTATCAACATTTTTTCAGTCACGACAATCTTTAAAAGTATGAAAAATCTCAGTCTAAAATGTGAGAAACATAAATGTTAAAAAAAAAAGGCTTGTGGTCCTTGCAAAACTCATAGCAGCATCCATACACCCTGGATGGGAAAGGCTGAACTAGTTAATGTTGACTGTCTGTGCATTAGTCAGTTGACAGAGCGCTGTTAGGCTTTTGCCTTTAAAAACATTGCCCTTCTGTTTGGACCTCTAGTAGACTAAAACAAAACTAAAATGTAACATATTTTAAAAAGAAAAAACACATTTGAGCTGCCCATGTCATATCTTGGTCTCAAAGGCTTTAACTGTGTAGATTTTTATGCTCTGCATTTGTGGTATTCCCTTGTGGTGGTGGGGGGAGGGGGGTAGCTTCTTGGGTTGATACAACATTTTTTTTATTTCAATTGTTTGTTTGTTTTCCTCTTAAGGATTATTAGTTTTGGTTACCTCTTCAAGCAAGACTTTCAAGAGAACAAACTTCCAGACCAAGGATTTTCACTGTTATTTCAACTAAGACAACAGCATGTGTTCCTACATTTAGCAATTGTCATGGTTTTTAATGGATACAGGCAAAGTTATAGTATGTGTAAACAGATGCTTTCTATGTGCCCTTGTTGCTTTTTGTTTCAAGCTCTGTTCACAGCTATGTGAATGAAAATCTGCTAATGCTACTTGTGGCTTTCTTTGAACCAACAGTCTGGTATTTTGCTTCAGAGTTGAATAGAAGCAGATGGGGCATGTCCTACTTCACCCCTTTTGGACACTGCACAGTGGCAATCCCTTCTAAGCCAGATTAATGCTAGGTTTTGCATTGTTTGATTTTCATTCACCTGCCTGTTAAGGTAATACCTAATGAAAGTGCCAGTTTACACATACCTTTACTCTAATGTACGGGATTATTATATTTATTGAGATTTTTAAAAAATGTTATATTATTTTGGGGCTTTAAAGAGAATGTCAGGGAACTGCTCCAAGGTATGAAGTGCTGGCGCCTACCTCCAAAAGCCTGAAGTTATGGCCTAATGGCAGGCTCCCTGAGAGGAGGCAAAGCTTTGGCACTTCGTGACAGTACTGAAGCTTTTGCCGTATGTCTACTGGCCAGTGAGGAGGTCCATCATAGTGATGGGCCAATAGGAATGTGTTGAGCTTTGCCTTTCGGAACAACCTGTTTTTTGGCCATGAATATAGGCTTTTGGAGGTGGCATGTGTAAGGTACCTCTAAGTGCACTTTTACCTGCAGACGTTCTTCCCTCTGATGGTCTCTTTGAAGCAGTGGCATAGTATAAATTTGACTTCACCCAAACTTCTAGCTTACCATAGAACATGTTTAGAGATTGTTTACTATGCCAAAGCAAAATAATGAGTCTATATACGATCCAGTTCTCTATTTTGCTGGTTTTCACAATGTACCACAGCTTATTTATATGACATACTTCGGTACAGCCTAGTTTGACATATTAAACACATGTGTAGCATCTTTGTCACGTGGTCTTACATTTCCATAGTTTTCAGATTTACTTTCCCAAGTTGCAAACGGTAAATTCAATTTATTTGTTGTAAAAGTTATACTTTTGCTGACACTGGGGAACACTAACAAGATTCTCCAAATCTAGACTCGGAATTATAGATATTTACTCTGTGTGAAGTAAGGCGTTTAGTACAGTTGTGCTTGGTATTAATGTCGAGTAACAAGCATCAGAATTTTTCATTTTTTGGGGTATTTGTATATGTGTACATATTTTTATACTGTGGATTTTTTTAAATTTGTTTTATTTTAGGCCTTAATGCTATTGGCTTTTAAAGTTTAAAAAAATGTGCGTTCTAAAGACTTGGAGTAAATCTCTGACCGGTAAACAGTTTTGTTCCAGTGAAATTTCAAGTGCATCTTCAGGTTACCTTATTCTTTATACCCACCACCACCACCACCCCAGCAAGTTTTTGGCTGTGTTGTCCCCTTGGCTAGATCCATGCAAATCTCTATTCAGTCCCATGGATGGTTCATATTCTGGATTTCATTTGGAAAATAAGAAACTCCATAGAATTAAATGGAGATTGTAGAGGGCATACACACTGGTCCTGATCAAGAATATTTTGATAAAACGTTGTGAAGTGCTGAGGCCTTACAGCCAATATTTAACCAGTTTAGGGACCGGTGAGTAAAAAAAGATTAAAAAAAAAAAGGGGGGGGGGGGGGGGGTTAAAAATTATGTACACCATTGTGTGTTTGTAGTACAGTTGGAACCTTAATGCTAAGTCTTGTAAATGATGCATCAGCATAGGACAAAGTTAAGGAAACACTATTTCACATTTCTTATCTGAGGAAGAATCAGGGGGTATCTTAATGATGAAGTTTTCATCAGTTCCACAGCCCCCACCAACCCCGTCTTGCACAGATTTACTGGTTTGATGGGGCTATTGTGTGACAGTATGTAAAGTCATACATTCTAATGCTGCATGGGGTGTGATTTTTGAGAAGTCCACCTTAAGCAATATGTGGGTACCTTTTGGATACCATGAAGGTTTTCTTTGTAAAGCAGCCAGGCTATTCATTGGTGCAGACATGGATAATGATCATGTACAACTTTACTGACGTTTCACCAAGATATGCTTGGTGATATCTACCAGTTGTCCTATATGTAGTAGTTAAAGGGAGGCTATACTTTACCCTGTCCCTTTCATGGGTTGTTGGGATGAAAGTTACAACATGAGGAGAAAATGCCCTCATCCATATACAAGGACAGTGTGTCTAAAATAATTCATGTACCAGGATTAGCATAGTGCTATAACCCATAGCAACTGTTTGTAGGCTAATAATTAAAATTCATTTTTCATAGATATGACTACAATAAACTGTCATTTGTTTTACTACAGGTTACAGTTCCTGCCGTTTGTGTTGACATTGCCTTGTTGTATAAACCTTTGTAGGGTTTATCTGAGCAGCATGCTCCTATGCTTTTTGGTTTTATTTTTTTAATGGTTGGCATACAGATTTCCTAACCATACTATATTAATGTTTTTATTTGCCAGAATAAGTCTCACTATATAAGCAATGTATTCAGTTTTCATTTTTGAAAATTGGAATAACTGGAATTTTTATTCTTGCGTAGAGAATTTATTTTATTTGGTCTGTTCAACTGCATCTAGGATATGTTCAAGCCAATTTCTTACTTTCCTAGTAAGTGACAAATGTTTGATTTGCTTGTGAAAAATCCTTATTTTGTTCATTGTAAGTTTATACACCATTCATTGTGGTTCAGAATAAACAACAAACTGTTTACTAACATGTTCTTTTGAAGTATTCTTTTTTTCCCTCTTTTGAATGGAATAGATACACTAGTGACTATATGTCTAATTTGGAGTGATGTATTTATTCTAAATGCCATGTGTCCCAATTATCAGGAAGTCGGTCGGCGGATCATGACCCGTCGCCCGGCTTCCTGATTGCCTGTGAAGCCGGTGTTCTAGCGAAAGAACACTGGCTTCACTTGCCAAGGCTGCCTGGCTTCTTGACCAATCAGGAAGCCGTGCAGCAAGTCATGAGGTGCCGTCCGGCTTCCTGATTGTTCAGGAAGCCATACTTCCTAGCAACAAGTGAAGCCGACTCCCTAGACAATCGGGAAGCTGGGCGGCAGGTATGTAGGATAAAATGTGCTTTTTTTAAATGCACAGATACACTAGTTTAGTTTAAAAATGAACACTGGTGAAAGTAGAAAAAGTTATTTTAATGGGTTAAGGTCCAATTTAAATGTAACTATGGGCAAAATTTTATAAATATAATGCAGTCCAACAATAGCATCAGCACAACAGTTTTGCTGTGAGTAGGAATGCAACGATACCGAGTATTTGGGCGAGTACTCCTACTTGCCTAAATACTCCGATACTGGAACTTCCAGTCCCTCTGACCAGCAGTGCCACGAAGGAGCATGGAGCCGATTTCTCAGCCAATCAGGAAGCCGGGCGGTGGGTCATGATCTGCCTCCCGGGTTTCTGATTGGCTAGGAAGCTGGCTTCACTTTTTTGCTAGGTAGCCTGGTTTCCTGACAAATCAGGAAGCCAGGATGCGAGTCGGGACATGCCACACGGCTTCCTGATTGATTAGGAAGCCAGGCTGCCTACCAACAAGTGAAGCTGGCTTCCTAGCTAATCAGGAAGCCGAGTGGCACGTCATGACCCACCTCCTGGCTTCCTGATTGGCTAGGAAGCCGGCTTCACTTATTCCTAGGCAGCCTGGTTTCCTGACCAATCAGGAAGCCGGGAGGTGGGTCATTACGTGCCACTCGGCTTCCTGATTGGTTAGGAGGCCAACCTGCCTTGGAACAAGTGAAGTCGGCTTCCTAGCCAAACAGAAAGCAGGGAGGCAGTCTTAACCCACCTCCCGGCTTCCTGATTGGAAGACAGCTGGCTCCATGCTCTCACGGCACTGCCGGTCAGAGGGAGATCTCTCTCTCTCTGACCGGAAGTTGCGTTATCGGAGCATTTGGGTGAGTACAAGTCGTTGCCCAAATACTCGGTATCGGCACCAAGACTAGTATCGGTGCATCCCTTCTGAATACAATGTTCTACTATTTAATATCATAGCTATTCAAACAAGATTTATACTTGCTTTTATATACAAAAAAGTGTAGCCTTCAAAAATGATAACCGCTTTGCACGTTCCTTGCATAGAATGCAGTACAGTTTTAAAGCTCAACTCCAGCCAGAATCATTAAAATACCAGTAGCCAAGGTACTTGACTTACTCAGCTCAAAATGCTAGCCTTTCCTTTTATGTCCTTTCTTCCATCATTTTGATCTCCCAAACTGGTCCTGTATTCTTCTTTTTGTTTTTCCTGTTAATGCGAACGGCTTCCACCTCTCTCTCCATAAGCAGCAGGTCTAAGTTCCGACTCACCTTTTTTGTAGTCCTAAGCATGCATCACACCTCCTGTGGGCTAGTGCAATCAGCAAAGGACTTGTTTGTGACCTGCCTACATCAGTTAATAGGCAGCTGTGCAAAAAAGACTGGGACATGACCCATCTATATGGCTTAATAAGCTGCAACGCAAGTGGCTGCATTAGTTATCACAGCTCCGCTCACACACAGAACTTAGCACTGGGTTTAAAAGGGTAACTCCACTTTAAAAAATAAAACAATCATACAGAAATTAATATAACATAAATAATTGCTAAACTAGACATTTTATAATTTAATGTTATTAAAAATGACCATTCCATTTTAAACTAAAGCTACTGTAATTTTCTAAAGCTGTCAAACATTTCAATGCAATATGGTGACCTGGAGGCATTCTGTACACGGGCATTCTGTACACAGTTGGTGTACAGAACCCCTACCAAATGCCCCCCACCCCAAATGTCACTTCTTTGTCTTACTTATTTTGACATACGTCCGTATGATGAGATGTTCTCTAAGGGCTATTTACTACCAGAGGGATGCTGACACTGCAACTTTCTGTGTTGGAACATAGAAAGTCCATTAGCTGATAAATGAACCCAGACTCTCCCATTCAGGAAACAGTCTGGAAAGAACATGCTGGAGCAAGCTGCTATTTCTTCAGTACAGAAACTGGTAGGACTCAGCAAAGAAAGTTTTTGTTAAAATCCTTACAATGTACATTTTATCACCCAGAGGGGGCTGACTTTTTTTTTTTCTTGACAAAAGTGGAGTTGTCATAATGGAGTTGTTCTGGTATAATAATATGGAGGCGGCACATTATTAAACATTGTATGCATTCTTGTTTTGGTTCTTGGTCTTTCTTTTCCAACACCACGCTTGAGTTTTGCCCAGAAGTTGTTTTTTTTTTATATCTTTATTTTAACAAAATTGAAGGATACATAAAAAATATTGTGAATACAATATCAAACATCATGGAACAGAGGTACCGTACGA